CTTAGCTCCAACCCCTCAGTTTGCCAAATGTGCTGGTCATGTGCTCTTGCCAACAGCAGGTGGCGCTGCTGTAGCAAAATTTTGGTCAAGGTGGGTGGAGCAGAGAAAACAAACTTGTCTTATAATACATACCATCCTCCTACTTGTCAAATCCCGTGCTCTCTAAACACAGTGTTCATAGTAATGTCTCAGCACGTGGTTTAAAAAGGAACTCTAGCAATTCCAATTTTACAGAGGATAGAGGGCTTGCCGAAAACCGGACCATTTGTTAGGTGAACGCAGATGAAGTTTGCTCGTGCCAGGCCCTGATCCCTTGAGTCCTGTGGTAGGCCCTTTGCTGACCTCTCTATTATCCCAGTGACTGGGCAGGATGGGACTTTGGTTAACTCTGGTTACATGATAGCTATGTACACTGGTTTGAATTGGGAGTTGAATATTTCCGGTTACGCCAAGATAAAGGAACATATCCCTTCAGCTGGCCCTCCAGAGTCTAGAGGGGAGCAAAGGGGAGGGTTACCAATAGGGGGGCCAGGGGACTAACCTAGTCCTGCCGGACTAGAGATGGAGACACCACTGGGGTCCCCGGGCCCAGTGACTGTGCAACGTGGCTGAATGTCAGAAGTCATCTGTGAAATGTGTCCAAACGTAGCTTCCTGGCCATATGCCCCAGATTCGTGAATCAGAATCTCCAAGGGTGGGGCCAGAGAAACTGAATTTATTTCTAATACAATCCCCCCAAATGATTCTTAATGGAGTGAGATGGTCACTTGTTCACCAGACGGGTCCTTGTGATCCACTGATGTAACTGACTTATTTTACAGTGATTAATGATGATGATGACAATTCACAGTTACTGGCTCCTTTTCAACATGCCTGGCACTGTTCTAAGTAGCTCACACGCATGAACTCATGTGACCCTCACAATGGCGCTATGGGGTAGGCCTATGTACTATTGCTGTCATCCCCACATCGCAGGTGAGGGAGACTGGAGCCCCGGCCGGGGCTGTGGAACTCAGGAAAGGCTCCCTCAGGGATGTCCTTCATTTAAATCTGGGTACATTTAAATCTTCCCTTTTGGCCAGCTTTAAGCCTCAGGCAGAGGCTGAATTCTGGGCCTGCATTCGCCCTTTGGACGTGCTGGCTCAAATTCCAGGTATTTTTAGAAATAACATAGCTCTATCCATCAGAACACGATGAAATGGGCTTAGACTACACCACGAGAGATAATAGGTGAAGCAAAGCGGAAGGGTTCATTTATTAACGATAAGGACCCACTGGCATTAGACTGCATCAATGGCGAGGATTTTTTGACTTTGTGCGATTTTGGGTTTCTTCAAGAGGTCTTTAGTAATTGGTCATGCCCATTTGTAATATGTAAGTCATCATGTAGAGTGAGTGCAGGAAGAGATACAAATGCATCTGAAGAATTTGGAGGTGTGTGTGTGTGTGTGTGTGTGTGTGTGTGTGTGTGTGTGTGTGAGATCTGGGACCACACTGATCTTGAGGACTCAGCAGACAGTAATGCCCTCCTCGGACTCATCCTGCAGAGTTCTGTGGGCAGGAGACTAAGGGGTGAGATAAGTCTTCACCCAGTAGGTCGCCTCCTTTGTGGTGATGTCTGGGACGTCTATGAATATTTGAAGGTGAGGGCACAGATTAAATGATCTCTATAGATCCCTTCCAGATGGCAGCTGAGCCTCACCTCTTCCGTAGGTGGGAAGAGCTGTCAGACTCTGGTGTGCCCGTCGCCTATGGTACAAAACCCCTGGGGCACGAATAGATGAAGTCCCCTCACAGAGACTCCCTAGGGAACTGGCAGCTGTAAGGGGGCTCTGGCTTGTTCAATTATACAGATCTGACCCCACATACAGCTGCATATCCCAGGCTTAAGGGGTCTCATAGGACAACTCCAGAGTACAAAGTGGAAGCAAAAGACCCAGAAGCTTCTGCTCAGCCTGCCAGCATTTCCTGTGGTCTTCACGGAGCAGCGCCTGGTACACAAACAAGTGAGTAATAACTGAAAAACCCGCTGGACGGAAGACGCGGGCACACGGGGCGGGGGTCACTCACCTCAGCGCGCTGTACCCCTGGCACACGCTGACACAGCACAGGACGTTTTCTTGGTTGGCCTGAGTCTCGCCCAGGTATTTACACACGATGTTACCGCCCAGGCTAAAGCCCACGACGACCAGCTGGGTCAGGGGGTACGTCTTCTTGATGTAATTCACCATGGCTCCAAATTCCCAGGTGCAGCCTGTGGGTAGAGAGGTGGACAGGCAATCGTGAGAAACGGTGAGCTGGAGGGTTGTTACTATAAATGGAGGGAAGCTCCCAGATGTCCCCCAGTATAAGAGGAAACATGGCATTAGCAGTGCCCATCCGGGCAGGTGCCATAACGTCCACCAGACAGATGTGCAACGTGCCTTTGAAGGCGGGAGATCTGTCTGGACGCTTACAGGAATCAATAGAGATGCAGGGGGCGCTTGAGCACGTACGTTCGCACACAGCTATAAACAAAAGCAAGAGCAAGGCCCTTTGGGGTTAGCTTCTTAGGCTACAAAATAGGATCCTGTACCCGTGTGCACGGTGATTCATGGTGTTAAGAAAAGCACCAGGTGGATGTTATTTACAGGATCTTCCTGTGGGGGAGGGGAGGAAAGACAAACTGCCGTCCAGAGGGACCGCCAGGATGCTCCGTAGGGTTAGGAGAAAGTGTTCTTGGTGATGTAAGGACAGGGTGCCAGGGGAGGGAGACCCACTTAGAGACACACAGAGGAGACCTGTGAACAGAGACGGTGTTTAGGCCTAGGGTGCCTCGGAGGAATGATCTCAACAGCTGCCCCCTGGGGGAGCGGGTGAAGTCATGTTATGTCTCAGCAGCTCTGCTAAGAGAAGGAGATAAGTGGCCATACATGGCTGAAGGAATTCATCACATCCTCCTAAGGCCCAACCCCAGGCTCTGCAGGGAACCACCCGAAAATAAAGCCTAATAGGGAAAGCTGGGGGCTTTGGCAAGAAGCGTGTACAAGACCAACCAGCATAAAGAGAGTGTGGATCTGGTACCTGTTTTTA